GGTGGTACACACCTGTAGTTCCAGCTACTCAGGAGGCTGAGGTAGGAGGATCACTTGAGCCTGGGAGTTCAAGATTGCAGTGAGCCACTGCACTCAGCCTGGGTGACAGACTAAAACTCTGTCTCAAAAACAAAACAAAACAAAACAAAACCCTCTAAGTCTAACCCTTACTCCTTCCTTCTTAATCTCTCCATACAACACACACACACACACACACACACACACACACACACACATAAGCATGCACAATAGAACAACAATGAAAGGATGGAAAGACAGGAAAATATGAAAGAGGAATGGGTAGATGTGAGGTCTTCAATTGCTTGGGAAAGAAAGAGCTAAAAATATTGGAATGCCACTTCTTCTTACTCGTCCTTTGCCCCTTCAGATATTAACCATAAAATAAGCTGACTTTCCAAGATCATCAGGCATGCCAAGTGAGATTTCAGCCAAATGTCTGATTTACAATCCTTAGTGAGTAGCATCTGATCTGAAAACCAACAAAAGTGGGTGTTATAGAAAACTTGAAACATTTATATTAATAGACTTCTAAAAATTCAGAATATTTAAAATTCCTTTTGAGATAAAAAATATTTCAACATCAAGCTTCATGAGCTTGTTACTGCATCAACAATATACAGACGAGAGCTGTCAGAAGACAGTCAGAGAATGTGTTTTCTCACCCAAAGCTACATTTCTCCATCTCCTCTCTCAACTGTATAGCCCATCTGGCAGGGCATGAACGGACCACTGGGAGAACACAAACTTGGAAACTGAAATTTCAGGCTCAAAGTAAAGATGAAAACGTTAATTTCCCCAAAGTTTAAAACCCCAAACAATAATGATCTTATTCTGAAACTCAGGAAAGAGTTGTATGAACTTTCTTGTAAAAGGATTTTGTGTGTGTGTAGCATTTTGCAAAAAAGCTTTGGTAGAAACTGGTGACTTCGTTGGAAAGGCAAGTGGATCTTGACCCCAAAACCCTCCTTTCTGTTTGTTTGCAAAAGGTTGAATGAACCTCGTCTGTTCAGCTGTCTCTTTTCAGGAGTTGGCCAATGCATATGCTATTTCTCTTTAGATATTTCACAAAAAGGGAAAGAATATAACAAAGTAGGCTGTGTAAACAAGAACTGGCTAAGGTTACATCCCTAAGAACCCTCTACTCCGGTGTACTGGGATGCTAACCCTATCTGAGTTACAAACCTGATCAGCCTGCGTTAGATGTCAATGAATAAGGAGAGTTCAGGCTGCCAATGCAAATTATTTTAATGGACTCTTTAATGGCTCCTCTTCCTACTCTGCTTATACAAATATTCTTAAAACAGTATTGATTTGAGGGACATTACTTGCCCGTGGACTCTTCTCTCTTTTATGGTGACTATTGTTTCTAGGTGTTTGTTTTTTGGGACTAGCTTAGTCAACAATAAGTTACTTTTTCCACCTGAGTCAAACTTTAGTTTCCATTTTAATTTCATCTCAAAGGAATTCAGATTTCACTAAGAGTGTTTGAATCTCAGAGGCAAGAATGGTACAGTTAGACCACTAGATGCCGTGCAGTTCCCTGGTTTTCAAGCTATGAGTTTCCAAATTCTTGGATTTTTATATGTGTGTCCCAAGACTATAATATGAAGTAGAAGTAAAGAAAATGCTGAGAAAGCTTTCAACAAAAGAAACAAGATTTTCAATGACTTTCAAACTTCCATTTTCAATTTCATTTGATAAAAGATCTTGTTAGAGGATGAGAACTTGCAGTTGGAGAGAGATTCAGCAGCTTGTTTAGGCCGCTCAGCGAGTGGCAGAGCCAGGAGCTGTCTCCAGAGTTGTCAGCAAGCATCCTTCCTGCCACTCGACACCCCCCTCTCCTCATGCCTCTTTCCATCCTGTTGGCATCTACTTTTTCCCTTTTTAAATGTTTCCCATATTTCTTTCTTTCAGTATTTTGTAGTAGTGTCTAGAGTAGTGTTCTTTTAGATTCTCTATGTGTTTTATTCAATATCCATTATTAATCAATTCTGAGAGTATTAGTTCACTCCCAAAAGACATGAGGAACTGTTATTAGTATTACTAATATTATCACCTTTTACACTGACAATATTTTATTTGGAAGCATTCACCATTTATAGATTTTACATATTAATTATATAGTTATAAACATATACATCCTTATGAAGTACATAGAGGGGGAATATGAAAATGACAGCCTTAAAATGAGAAATGCCTTGCCTAGTGGTACACGCAAATTTAGAAGCACAAGCAGTTTTTGAACCCTGTTTCCCAGTTTTTGCTCTTACTGCTCAAACACTCTAAATGAAGACGAGGTTTGGGTGGGGTGGGGGCAGTTAAATTTTCACTTGTATAGGTGATAAGTCTGTCTCTTTTCCCTTGACATTTCAAATGATGTGATTCCTTATTAAATCAATCTCACACACACTTACAAATTACTCATTCACCTTGTCAATCTCACCACCAACCTGCTGGAGCAAGACCAGAGGACACAAGTTCTCCCATAATCCTTTCTCCACAATCCACAAGACTGATTATCCTTTTCTTATCAACGTCAATACCTAGACATTGTTTGCAACCATTAAATTATGACAATGTTTTGAGTACAAATGATTCTCTCTTGACCTCTCATCAGTCCTATATCTTCTTTCCCACCAGATTTTTATTCACATAGTCAACTCTGCTCATGCCAGAATATCTCATTTTGGGGACCAGTCTGTGTAAAATGCTACCCAAGACCCTCATCTTGTCTCTAAATCCCTATGTGACTATTTAGACTAACAAGCATAAGAGATTGGAAGGACTGATAGGAACCAAACATGAAGTAGACACTTTCCACAGAAAAGAACAATGCCAGGGAAAGGACACATTCCCCAGCACTAGCATATGTATAAATCTAAGGGAACATGTACATATATCCAGCTACATATTATACAAAATCTCATACAGCCTCTAAACACCGTTTCCTTCCATAATGTAATGAATGCAGAGACCAGGAAATAGCCCAAGGTAGAAGGAACAATATACTCCAGCCACTAGCACAAGTTTCATCAAAACCTAAATATTTGCCAAGAGGCTCATTCATTTCCTGTATTCTCCAGCTCAGTGGAAGCACAGAAATAGTAAGAATACTAATAAATCCTGAATTAGTTAGTCTTAAGCTAATGTTGTTTGCCCCATAGTAGATAGCTTGAGAGATTAAAAGTATCAATTTGAATACCTTCTGAAGGAAAGGAAGATCTTTGTGGTATAAGCAATTCACTTTACTATTAAAAACGAGTGTCTTTTAGAAGGCATGGTAAAAGCCATTTCTGGGTGAGTCATGGCAAAATAATTACAATCACAATCCTCTCTTGCCTGGGTAGATCATTGTTCACTTATCCCTGTATCCATGAGCTTCTTTGGTATCTGCTGTCTCATACCAGATACCACTTGTGGCAAGCTTCCTTATAACAACTGTGGAAAACTAGTTGAAGGCAGAAGGTAGTTTTCTTTCTCTACTATATAATAAGAAGTTTGGGTCACTGGTGCTTGCTTTCTCATTGGGCTTTTAAAAGAAACAAATGCCTTCAGTTTTCTGGGAGCAGAAATATGTTCTTTTTCATCTAAAACCATTCCTTGCAGCTCACTAAATATTGCTGAGCAAACCACAAGTAGCTTATCATCTTATCTATTTGCAACAGCAAACTGAATGTATTAGGAAAACCTCTTCAGGGAGGTGGGGCCCAGCAGCCCAGGAAGCTTTCGGAAATAAAATATCTAACAGCAGGTGGCTTGGGTAGTACACCAGCTGTGTGGCTGTACATAGGAACTGCCACTTAACAAGTTAGGGCAGCCTGTTCCCATTGCTCATGGGAAGTTGGACACTATTCTATTCCCTTTAGACACTGTGGGCTGCAGGAGAAAAAGCAGGCATTTCATTATGTCCTGTCGTTTCTTTTTCATGTGATTTTACGTTGTACTTGGACAGAAGAGTTTCATGTGCAGGAGTAAAAACGTCAGTCCCAGGAGATACTGGTTCATTGGCCAAGAGTCCATATGTCAGTAGTGTCTTTCCCCCTTGGGACATGGTTAGTTACCATGGTAACTGGCAGCCAAGGCTTATTAGTGCTTGTTAGTGTTTAAAAGGTGATTTATAAGCATATAAATAATTGGCAGCTCTTTAACAGGTGGGGCTCCTGAACTCAGCTGCCTTTGGCAATTATCTACAGGATTCAAGAGCTGTGCTCCTGTCCTCTGCAGCTGCCTGCCTGCCTGCCTGGCTCAGAGACTATCAACCTTGAAAACAACAAAAAGAGGAAACAATCCATTAGTGGAGTGGGTAAGGCAGATTGTATTACCAATGAAATGGTGGTCTGTTCGCCTATCCTAATGCACAGGGACAGATGGCGGGACTACAGGTTGCCCACTTTCAACTTTTCCTTGGAAAATATACATACTGCATCCCAAAAGCCCTTGTTTCTTGGCAAATTCATTAGAAATAGATCCAGACTTACATGTATGTGGTTGCTTATACTGGAAGAGTCCCTTATCTAAAAATACCTCCTCAAACCAGCAACCACAGAACTGAAAGTGCATCAGAATAGATGTACTGTATTGTATTATTTTCAGCTCTGTGTGTATGGTGTGTGTGTGTGTGTGTGTGTGTGTGTGTGTGTGTGAGAAAGAGAGAGAGACAGGAAGAGAAGAGTTATTTGAAGGTATCAGGGAAGAATGAGGCTGAGAGAAAAATGGAATAATTCAATACTTCCAATGTTAGTAAACACACAAACCTTGCTGATGATATATGTTTAATAACTGAAGAAACCCAGGAGAGCATGAGAAGACTGAGAAGATGGAGCTATCAATGCCAGGGATACAAGAGTTTGTGGAATGGAGCCACAATTTTGTCAGATCACAAATCTGACTGGCTAGATCCAACTCAATAATAATTCTGGGTTTGTCTATTTGTTTGTTTGTTAGAATTGGTAAGATCATTTTCAATACTATTTTTTACAGTTTTGAAGTCCTAAATTACTAAGAAATACATTTGTGGAAGAATGTCATGCATTCATCTAATACGTAAGTGATACTACATGTTATTATTTTCACCTTAAGTACATCAGAAAAGAAAAAATGAGAGGATATTTGAGAGATATTACAATGGTAATACAAAATAGGGAGTGAGTCTTTGGAGAGGAAAGACTTTGAAGAGAAAGACCAAAAGGGGAAAAAACTGGAGGCTAAAAAGTTGTTTCCTCTGGTTTTTGCAGCTTATTTCTTTCATTTGTAGAGAACCTCCCGAGCCTATAACCAGGCAAAGTCAGCAAGTGCTGCTTGAGGGATGGCATAAAAACAGTGAGTGTATCAGCGGTGCACTGTCCTGTAGGGCATTCTATCAACTCTGGGAGTTATACAGATCAGCAATGATTATTTATGCCTTCAAGCAAGAGGGGCTGATTAGCACTTCTATTTTAACTTACGTGATAGCATATTTCTCCCCATTCAACTAAGTGCCTAATTCTAGTGATGAAACACCTCATTCACCAACAACTTGAAAGTGTTATTCAGGTTGATTAAACACTACTCTACTTACAGAAATACTTTTTGTTTTAATAATTGGTATTGGTTTTTAACTCTACCCTCTACAAAGCAGGGGGTAATTAACTTGATCCTTTCTCTTCCTTGCTGAAATTTTTGAACACACTATATGCTTTCTGAAAAAAATTTCACTCCAAATAAAAAACAAAAATATTAAACTTTTACATAATTCTTACTATGTTCCAGGTATTATTCTGAGTGGTTTACATATAGTAATTCATTTCATTATCACAAATATATATAAGTTAGGCATAACTATTATCCCCTTTTTACATTTCAGAAAACAGAAATCTTAAAAGAAACTTTGTCATGGATCTAAGAAGGAACAAATTAGGAACAGACCTAGAATTTGAAAACATAACACAATAAAGACTACTCACCTGCTGCTTTCAATTTTGTCAACAAATGTGTACTGAGTGATGGTTTCCCTTCCAATTATGAAATAGAAAGTTATAAGAAAGTGCAACTCTCATAACAAACAAAACAAATGCAGTGAGATACAAAATCAGATATTCTGAACCCATCAAAAAGTGACAGTGAAAAAGAAACTTTAAAAACTAAACTTCAGTGGTGAACACTTCATGGGAGAGAAGGCATACAATGATGGTCTCCTTAGCTGGTTGGCAGAAAAAGAAAAATTCCCTTATGGACAGAGAAAAGGAAAAAAATCAACCAAATCTTTTAACAAAATTTTAAAGCCTATGTGTGGACTGCTAAGAAAAACTGGAATTCTGAGCCCCTTAACTGCAGAGCAAATCTGCATTCACTTGCCAATTCTATTGCATGATGAGTCTTTACCGAGTGTTCAGGGCAGTTTTCCAAAGGCTTGAAGGCAGGAGAGAAAAGCTAGGAGCGATCAATTTCAACTCAGGATTTTAGCTTCCAAAGGCTGGGGGCAGATAAGAGTTCTGAGAAAGACTTATCTGAGACATTCTGAAAGAAAGGAGGCCTTCCTGGCATAGAAAACCTGGGGGAGGACTGAAGGAGAGCAAAGAGAATTCCCCAGCAACTCATGGAGCTGGCAGCCAGGCTGCAAATGCAGAGAGAGGAGAGAGAGGAGAGAGAAGAGAGAGAAGAGAGAGAGCGCTCCACATTTTCAAATGCTAACACTTGGGCAGAAAAGCACAGAGACATATGAATCTCAGTAGTGTTTAGACCCTGAGCCCACCAGAGGCAAATTCGAATTCCATTCTCAAAACATTTCAAGATTATGGTCAGATTAAACTTGCTACAAAGCCCAAACACATATCAACCACATTTAAGGTTTATATAATACTTAAATAGCTATTTTCTGGAAACAAATATGATTTACTTTCATTTCTACTTTTTTTTATATGTAAAATATCTCTAGTAACAAAAAAACTTACATGATATTCAAAGAAGCAAGTAAATAAAAATCATGGCCAAGAGAGAATATATCAAGAAAAGTAGAGCCAAAGATGGCCCAGATGTTAGAATTGTCAGACACATTCTTAAAATATTTATAATTAAATGTTTAAAAGATTTAGCATTAAAAAATAGCCAACGAGAGTGAGGAGACAAAAATTTTTGCAGATGCATACTATATTAAACAAAAATATCTGATGAAAATTCTTGCAAACAGTACACTATCAAAATAAAGTATGTTAGATTAACTTAACAGTGGCCTAAAAGAAGAGAAGAACATAAAGTTGTTATCAAAGACAGACCAATAGAAGGCATTCAGTTTGAAGAACAAAGAGAAAAAAATAGACAAAAGCATTTGAGATCTGTGGGACAATGTCAAACCTATCGTTAGTGTAGAAAATGAAAAGAGAGAATATGATTTTAAAAAAAGAATCTCAATACATTTGCATGGCATGATTTAAAAGGATTAAAAGAAATTAACACACATATCCAAGATACTCTGTGATATGATTTGGCAGTGTCCCCACCCAAATCTCATCTTGAATTGTAGCTCCCATAATTCCCATGTGTTATGGGAGGGACCCAGTGGGAGACAGTTGAATCATGGGTGTTGGTTCCCCCATATTATTCTCATGGTAGTAAATAAGCCTAAAGAGATCTGACGATTTTATGCAGGGTTTTCCTTTCTGCTTGATTCTTTCTCTCATTCTTTCTTGCCTGCTGCCATGTATGACATGCCTTTCACTTTCTGCCATGACTGTGAGGCCTCTCCAGCCACATGGGACTGTGAGTCCATTAAACCTCTTTTTCTTTATAAATTACCCAATCTTGGGTATGTCTTTATCAGCAGCATGAAAATAGACTAATACAGTAAATTGGTACTAGTAGAGTAGGGTACTGCTGTAACGATACTCCAAAATGTGGAAGAAACTTTGGAGTTTCTCTGGGTAACACGCAGAGGTTGGAACAGTCTGGAGAGCTCAGAAGAAAACAGGAAAATGTGGAAAAGTTTAGGCCTTCCTAAAGATTTGTTGAATGGCTTTGTTCAAAATACTGATAATGACATGGACAATGAAGCTGAAGCTAAGGTGGTGTCAGATAGAAAGAAGAAACTTGTTGGGAACTGAAATAAAGGTGACTCTAAATAAGTTTTAGCCAAGTGATTGGTGACATTTTGCTCCTGCCCTAGAGATTTTTGGATCCTTGAACTTCAAGGAGATGATTTAAGCTATATGGAGGAAAAATTTCTAAGCAGCAAAGCATTCAAGATGTGACTTCAGTGCTGCTAAAAACATTCTTTTTTTTTTTTTTGAGATGGAATCTCACTCTGTCACCAAGCTGGAGTGCAGTGGCACAATCTCAGCTCATTGCAACCTCTGCCTCCCAGGTTCAAGTGATTCTCCTGCCTCAGCCACCTGAGTAGCTAGGACTAGAGGGGCATGCCATACGCCCAGCTAATTTTTGTATTTTTAATAGATATGAGATTTCACCATGTTGCCCAGGATGGTCTCAATCTCTTGCCCTCATGATCTGTCTACCTTCATCTCCCAAAGTGCTGGGATTAGAAGAATGAGCCACCATGTCTGGCCAAAATATTCAGTTTTAAAAGGAAAACATAGCATAAATGTTTGGAAAATTTGCAGCCTGACAATGTGATAGAAAAAAAATATTTTCTGAGGAGAAATTCAAGCTGGCTGCAGAAATTTGTAGAATTAACAAGGAGCCAAATGTTAATTGCCAAGACAATGGGGAAAATGTCTCCAGGGCACGTCAGAGACTTTTGCAGCAGCTCCTCCCATCACAGGCCTGGAGGCCTAGGAGGAATAAATAGATTCCTGGGCTGGGCCTAAGGGCCCCTGCTGCATGCAGCCTAGGGACTGGGTGCCCTGCATCCCAGCTACTCTAGCCATAGCTTAAAGGGGCCAAGTTACAGCCTAGTCTGTGGCTTCAAAGGGTGCAAGTCACAAGCTTTGGCAACTTCCACATGATGCTGTGCCTGAGGATGCACAGAAGTCAAGAATTGAGGTTTGAGAACCTACACCTAGATTTCAGAAGATGTATGGAAATGCCTAGATGTTCAAGCAGAAGTTTGCTGCAGGGTTGGGGCCCTCATGGAGAATCTCTGCTAGGGCAGCATGGAAGAGAAATGTGGGGTTGAAGCCCCCACACGGAGTCTTCACAAGGGCACTGCTGAGTGGAGCTGTGAGAAGAGGACCACTGTCCTTTAGACACCAGAATGGTAGAGATCCACTGACAGTTTTCACCTGGAAACTGGAAAAGCTGGAGATACTCAATGTCAGCCCATGAAAGCAGCCAGGAGGGAGGTTGTACCCTGCAAAGCCATAGGGGCAGAATTGCCCAAGAAAATGGGAACCCACTTCTCATATCAGTGTGACCTTCATGTTGAGACATGAGTCAAAAGAGGTCATATTTGCATTTTAAGACTTGATGGCTCTCCTGGATTTCAAACTTGCATGGGTCCTTTAGTCCCTTCTTGGCCAATTTGTCCATTTGGAATGGGTACATTTATCCAATGCTTACACCCCCATTGTATCTAGAAGTAACTAACTTGCTTTGGATTTTACAGGTGGAAGGGACTTGCCTTGTCTCAGATGAGACTTTGAACTGTGGACTTTTGAGTTAATACTGAAATGAGTTAAGACTTTAGGGGACTGTTAGGAAGGTATGATTGGTTTTGAGATGTGAGAACATGAGATTTAGGAGGGGCCAGTGGTATAGTCTGGCCCCTAAAATGATATAGTCTGGCTGTGTCCCCACCCAAATCTCATCTTGAATTGTAGGTCCTATAATTCCCATGTGTTGTGGGACAGACCCTACAACACATGGGAATTATAGGACCTACAATTCAAGAGAGATAATTGAATCATGGGTGGAGTTTCTCCCCATGAAGAGAAAAGAAAGAGACAACACAAGGAGTCTAGCAACTCAAATGGTCAGTGTGTCTATGTCCTCTAAATGATTTCACTACTTCTCCAACCAGGCTTTTTAACCAGGCTGAGTTGGCAGAAATAACAGAAATAGAATTCAGAATGTGGAAAAGAACTAAGATCACCAAGATTTAGGATAGCAAAACCCAATCCAGAAAAAAATAAAAATTAGAACATACAGTGTGTTCAAAATTAGAATAAAATGATACAGGAGCTGACAGATAAAATAGCCACTATAAAAAAGAACCCAACAGCTGAAAAACACAATACAAGATTTTCACAATGCCATCACAAATATTATCATTAGAATAGAAAAAGCTGAAAAAAGAATCTCAGAACTTGAAGACCAGCTTTCTGAAATAAGACAGTCAGACAAAAATAAATAGAAAACAATGAAAAAAAAAGAATAAACCCTCTAAGAAATGTGAAATTATGTAAAGAGGACAAATCTATGTATCACTGGCATCCCTAAAAGGGATGTAAAAAGGAGGGGGAGAAAGCAAATAACTTTGAAAACTTATTTCAGGATATTTTCTACAAAACTTCCCTAGCCTCACTAAAGAAGCCAACACTGAAATTCAGAAAATACAGAAAACCCTTTCAAGGTTCTATACAAGATCATCCCCAAGACATATAATCATCATTTTCCAAGGCTGAAATGAAACAAATAATGTTAAAGGCAGCTAGAAAGAAAGGACAGGTCTTCTACAAAGGGAACCTCATCAGGCTAACAGCAGACCTCTCTAAAGAAACACTACAAGCCAGAAGACATGGGACATTCTTATTCAACATATCTAAAGAAAAAAAAATCTCCAACCAAGAATTTCATACTGAGCCAAAGTAAGGTTTCTATGCTAAAGAGGACAAGATTTTTTCAGATAAGCAAATGCTGCAGAAGTTTGTTACCATCAAATACACCTTACAAGAGATCTTGAACAATAAATATGGAAAGACCATTACCAGCCAATACAAAAACACACTTAAGCACACACACCAGTGAAATTTTAAGCAACCACTTAAAAATCCAACATAACCAGCTAACAACACAATGACAGGATT